CTCCCAAGTAGCTGGGACTACAGGCGCCCGCCACAACGCCTGGCCATTTTTTGGTTGCAGCCGTCATTGTTGTTTGGCGGGCCCGGGCTGGGGATTCGAATCCGCCACCTTAGGTGTATGTGGCTGGCACCTTAGCCGCTTGAGCCACAGGCGCCGAGCCACATGTTCAAACTATTAAGCCATCTGCCCCTCATTCCCTGTCTCCTTCACACACTCTCTCCTCTTTTGGTACTTGTGGTTTTTGATGGAGCAGGAACAGCAGCAACGTGATTTGTCAATGTAAATTATTTGCTTTAAAAATTCTAATTGCTGTTTTCCTAATGGAAATATAAACATGCCATGGTGCGATGGCAAAAATACTGGCCTGGAAATCGTAAGGCTAAGGATCTACATAACCTCAGGTGTATATGATCATCATGTCCCCGGGCATCTCAAGATCTATTCTTTCTCTCAGGATAGAGCTAAACTAATGCTCTTAAAAGATTCTTTTTCCATTTCTAATATTAGACCCAGCTCACTTGGGGTAATGCTACAAACTTACCTTGCTATTTCTTTCCCTTTCAAACTGTTCCTCAAATTGTCTGATTTTTTTCTGAAGTTTCTTGACCACTTGATAAGGTGTTCTATCTTCTCTTTTTTCATCTTTTGAACTAAAGGATGATCTTCGGATCCTGAATTAAAACAAAAAGGCCCACAATGTATATTAAATTTTTAAGTGCCAACACCATATTTCTTATTGCCCTGACATAACACTATTACCAATAAATATATGTTTAAAGTGAAATTAAGTCACTAACACTAAAGGACAATTAGTAAAAAGAAACACAGCATGAGGCCGGGGTCACAGTGGCTGATGCCTGTAATCCTAGTACTCTGGGAGATGGAGGCAGACAGACTGAGCTCATGAGTTAAAAAGCAACCTGAGCAAGAGCAAGACCTCATGTCTAAAAATAGCTGGGCGTTGTAGCAGGTACCTATAGTCTCAGCTACTCAGGAGGCTGAGGCAAGAGAATTGCTTAAGCCCAGTAATTTGAGGTTCCTGTGAACTGTGATGCCATAGCACTCTACCAAGGGTGACAAAGTGAGACTCTATCTCAAAAAATAAAAAGAAAGAAATGCAATGTGCTACACATCACAAAATTAGTTAACATAAGGGGTGATGAAAGCAATTTAGAACAATTTAAAACTTATTTGGACGGTGCTCCTGTCGCACAATCCGTTAGTACATGGCACTGATATCATAAGGCAGAAAAGAAACAACAATATCTAGCAGCTCAGAGCTCTTTTAAGAATTCAAACTGTATGGCTCAACGCCCACAGCTCAGTGGTTAGGGGGCCAGACACCTACACGGGAGCTGGCAGGTTTGAACCCTGCCCAGGCCTGCTAAATGACAACACCAAAAAAAGCAGCCAGGTGTTGTGGCAGGCGCCTGTAGTCCCAGCTACTTGGGAGGTTGAGGCAAGAGAATCACTTGAGTTCATGAGTTGAAGGCTGCTGTGAGCTAAGATACCACAGCACTCTACTGAGGCCAACATAGTGAAACTGTCTCCAAAAAAAGAATTCAAACTGTATAGGAAAGTTTTTGATATTCAGAACAGGTTTTGATTAAAAACACCCCTTGCTTGCTACTTTGCTTTCAGAGTTCTGTGTTTTAGTCATAAATGAATACATGAGGAAATATCTGTTTGAGAGCAAACCTCAAAAACACCTACTGAACTCAAAATTTAATATCCGGGCCAGAAAAAAAAACTTATAAAAATGTGCTCATGAATAGGTATGGAAGACCAAATCTCTCAGAGGATCTGGGTACATAATAGGAATCACCTTTCATAAACACACAAAAATTATATACCTAGCAAAAGAAAGTGCTTTAGAGGAAGAATCCAACTTTTCTGGATCATGTAGGAAACGCTGGCTTTGCCCAAAATCCAAACTGCGGTGTGATAATACTGGAGGACAGTCCTCTTCCAGGGGGTGATGATTCATTCTTCCAGCTTGTGGAGACAACTGAGCTTCTCCAGACTCAGAGTCCTCTTGCCAAGACTTAAAAGCAGGAAATGGCTCTGTAAAACAGACACAAATAATAGTACCATGGGTCTCTTGAGTCCATGTAGAGAAAAAGTCACAAAATATTAGCTACATATTTTTTAAGGCATATAGTTATTTACAGTGGTTCATATAACACTGTATATATTTTTTAAAAAATAAGATACTAGAATCTTCACAAAATCTAATACAGTTTATAATTACTGAAACTTCATTTTTAAGCCCAGAGTTCTATTTTCACATAAGGAGTTATACCTTAAATTTCTGAACCTTGTGGCAAGAAAGGACACTGTCAAGCTCTTTAAAACGTAATTGTAAAAAATTATTTAATGCTAACTTTTCTAAAGATGTTATATTAAAAAATGTTATTTAAGAAGGGAAAACTTAATTCAGAAAGAACAAATACTCAACAGTCCTTAGTTAAAATTTTAAAGCAAAATGATGCCAGGTGTATGAACTGTCCTTCACTATTAATTAGCTATGTTAAGGAGATGTGGAAGCTCTCTTCCACGCTACACAAAACACTCACCAAATGAAGCTCTTTGACTTCTTACCTAGAATTTTAACATTTCAAAAAAAAGGAGCTAACTCATCTGACAGAACCTGGTCTCTAACATTAAACTGTAATGGCTATCTCTGGTACAGAATTCCTGTGCATAATATATATTTTAGTAATTAAATGCCTAACAATATTATCAAGACAAAATGTAATAGCACTAGACCATAAGTATATTTTATTAGTATTACCCTGTATGCTCTCAAATGAAACCATGTTAATATAGTTGAAGTCTTTGTACATACAAGGTTTGATTACATACAGAATTCATATAAATCATACACATGATCCACAAATATACCCCAAATACAAAATTGACTTTAAGAATCACTGGAATGCAGAAGGGAAAAAGAAAACATTTCCCATCTAAACATTAGTTTTTTATAACTAAAATTTAAGATTTTGATGCTATAGCTATTAACAATAGTAAAAATGAATGCAAAGATGGCTTGACAGTGTCAGAATTCATAAGTGTTTTCTTTTTCTTCACACAATAGCTAAGATTGCTGCTTTAGTAATTTAGTTTAACTTTTTTCATTAGCATTTTAAAGCATTTCTTTTTTTCAAAACGTAATTTAGTTATTACTGAAGCCCCAATCAACCTGACAATTAAAATTAAAATTCCATAATAAACCCAGTAATAATAAAGTGATTTCAGAGCAACCCTTGTACCTGTGTCCCAGCAAATAACTGGCAATAAATATATTATGAGAACTCTCCTATTTTAAGATAAGAAAGAAGAAAAACAATTTTTTTCTGGGTATCATTTTTAACCCAGAACAGTTTTCCTAAGATAGGGGGACAGCAGGAGAAGGGCCAATAATAAAAAGACAAAGTGAACCATAAAAAGGAAAAAAACTAAACTATGGTGAACCATACTTACCCTCCCCATCTCTCTGCAGATGCATTGTTTTGAAATCAATGAGGGGAAAAGTGATAGGGCATGACGCTAATAAAATGGAAAAAATGGCAAAAAATACTAAAGTGAACACACAGCACAGTCAGAACAAACCATACACATAACACAAAGCCAAAGATACCAAAACATTTCCCTAAAACCAGTTAGGCATTCTGCTCAAAAATTTTATTCAAAGAAATTACTACTAATCAAACTTTAACAAACACAAACATATATTTCCATTTCAGCAAGCAATGCAAACAAAACAAAACCAAAAACCCCCAAAAAAACACAAAGTAGTGCTATTGTATTAAAACTCAAATGTAAAACAAAAAAAATGGAAACTCTTATGGCACTGTTTGAAACCTTTCAGTGTAATTGATTTGAAATGGAAAAAAAAATCTCAGTTTTGTTCTTTGAAATTATCCTCTATTCCAGAGTTAGCAGGAGAGAATATGAAAGAAAGATGGTATCCACTTCCATTAGAAGCCAAAACTTTTTGAACAGGTACTACAAATTCATACTGATGATAATGGTCATGTGCTATCCGCTTGCTAACTACATTTTGCTGACTGTTCTTTAAGCAAAAGAAAAAACCTCCACACACTTAGAAAATAGTGAGGTGGGCCGAACAAAGTGTATCTGATTCCAAAGTAGTCATCATCTAAAGTAATTTGGTTTCCTAAGGAAAAGATTTTTATTTAGAACATCGTAACTCCTAATTGTGGAAAAATCAATGCTCATATTGGTGGCAAAGTTGGAATGAATAACATGGTCTACTAACAGCCACTCGGCCAAGCACATGCACAGTTCATGACTGGGAAGTTCACTGAGCTGTCTCTGTTAGCTTTCTGAAAGTCATCGGCCCTTATTCCTGGAACTGGAAGAGCCAGCAAGAAGCCCACATGGATGGTGTTAAGCCAGGTGGATAATGGGGCAGCACAGGCACTGAAAATCAGGGATCACCTCCTTTCCTATATGTAACAACAAGCTGTAAGGGTTGGATTCTGACAGGGGTAAAAACCAGTCCAGTATCAGGTTCCCTTTGGGGGAGCCTCCAGAAAACTGAAACTGGAGAGATAATGTCCGGTCTCCTCAGACAATGAAAACAATTGTTCTTCTATGCTTAAAGTTTAAGATCAGGACCTCCCAGGCCAAAGATCATAAAGGGCTATCGGAATCTAAGAGGAAAACACAAAAGTGCTTTATCAGAATTGCAGCTGCTTCTTTCAGAGTCTCCTTTCTCACCCAGGTCCCAAAGGATGTTCTGTTGACCACCACTCCTCAGTGACTATGCCACAATAAATAACTAAAAAGGATATTTGATATTCACTGCCACCAGTGTGCTAGCATATGTTCTAACTCTAGGGAGCATCTTTATAAATTGCATATGTCCTAAAAAACATAAAGCAAAGCAAATCTAAGACAACTTCAGTTTAATTTAGCCCAGGTATAAAATATGTAATATGCCACTGGGTTTACCAAACATCTAGAACTAAAAAGGGTTTGGGGTAGCTGGCAAAAAAGACCGACACAGACAATGACTTAATTGAGGCTCTTAAAAAAAAAAAAAAAACAGCCTAAACTGTAGGGAAAAAAAAGGTACACTGCAACTGTGATCAGAGGAATAGACTTAATAGTGCCAAAGGAGTCCATCGGCCCGGCATGGCGATTCCTTTTGTTACTGCTAATGTCATCAGATAACTAGTAATAGTCCTATTATTAATTATGTCATCAGATAACTCGCCAAAGGTGAGGCAATCCAGGGATCTTCATCCAAATGAATGAATATGTACTCTGCTTATGATTCCTGAGTTGTCTCTCTCTTTACCAAGGAAGTTGTATAATCCTCCTGGATTCAAATTTGTTGCTTGCTTCCCCACCTCCTCCAACACAATTTGAAAATTTACAAACCTGAAAGACCTTTACAGTGAATAACCACACACCATCACCTAGATTCTATCATTAACATTTTGCTATACTTGCTTTATAACATTTATCTGCCCAATTAACCACCTTATTTTTATCCATGAATGTCAGAATAAAACTACAGATATGGGTATATTTCTCCATAAACACTCCAACACGCAAATTAACAGCTAAAGTTCAATATCTGTCTACAGTTTCTAATTCTCTTTATGCCAAAAAATATTTTATATATTATGAAACATAAAAATCTTAAGTGTACATTTGCTGAGTTTTGAGAAATGCATATACCCATGTTGCCTGCCTATTAAATTTAAACTCCCCTTTGTGCAAATTTTTAGGGTCCTTTCACATAACTTCATAACATAATACAGAGGTATAGTATATAATATTTGAAGTACCCTTGAAGATAATTCATTTTTTTGTTTTTTGAAAACTAGTCTCTTGTGATTTTTTTTTAAAAATAGTCTTGTTCTGTTGCTAGAGCACAGTGGAATTATCATAGCTCACTACAACCTCAAACTCTGAAGCTAAAGTGATCCTCCTGCCTCAGCCTCCTGAGTAACTAGGACAATAGGTGTGTGACACCAAGCCTGTCCAATTTTTCTATTTTTTGGTAGCCTGTCACTATGGTGCTCAGGCTGGTCTCGAACACTCCTGGCCTCAAGCGATCCTCCTGCCTCAGCCTCTCAAAATGCTAGGACTACAGGCATAAGCCATCATGCCTGACCAAAGACAATTGTTTAAAAGTTATTCCTGATAATGCTAAGGATAAGGTAACTATATGGACCCCTATTTAAACTTGTGAGATGCCTAAGCCCTCCCTCAGCTTTCAAAGACTTAGAGATAGCGCTTGGTTTAACCATTAACAAAAGCCTATCTTGGGTGATTTTATTTTTTTTAATCAGTTCTAACATCCATTTTCAAAGCTAATAATCAGTTAAGAACCCCTATTTCATACGAATGATGTTGCCCCATAATCTCATTAGTGTTATTTTAATAAAAACACTCACTCATCTTATATGAAAGGAAAAACAGAAGATAAAGATTAATATAGTTGTCCAGAAAAGGGTAATAGTCTTATTACTAAGCATAATTTCAGTTACAAATAACATTATCAGGGAAATAATGTGCATGGATAAAATTACCTTCCCATTTATCACCACCAGAAACATTCTTCAGGTCTAAATGTGGAATTTGGACACATACTGCTTCCCCTTGAACACCAACACTTTGATCTCCTGGCACTTCTGAATCGGTGTTGGCATTCAAATCACATATCTTGCTACTAGAATCCTGTATTTTAAAATAAAAAATACATTTCACAATCCTGGAAGCTTTTCACACCCATCTTAAAGACACCAGGACATATTCATGTATAGATTTCATTGTCTTTTGGGGGGGGGGCACAGGGAGATAGTCTTGCTCTATCGCTCCTGATAAGAGTTCAGTGGCATCATCATAGCTCACTGCAACCTCAAACTCCTAGGCTCAAGCAATCTTCCTGCCTAAGCCTCCACAGTAGCTGAGACTGAAGGTGCACACCATGATGCCCAGCTAATTTTTGTATTTTTAGTGGAGATAGGGTCTCACTCTTACTCAGGGAGGTCTCGACTCATGAGCTCAAGGAATCCTCCCAGGGTGCTAGAATCACAGGCAAGCACCACCATGCCCAGCCATCCCTACTATGTTCATTATTCTACCGTGTCTATACAACCAAATGTGTCACTCCTACTATCCAAACTATTTCAACTACAAACAAGCAGTTTTATGTTATGTCTTACTACTTAGAGACATAGTTTGGACCCCAAATTCAGGGAAGTGTTTTCTTGTAACCAAAAGCAGCTAGTTATGCTGCTGCTTAACTGTAAAATATTGGTTATCAGTATTTATATTTAAATACTAGCCAACCCAAGAGTTTAAAACCAGATATAATAATTGACAGATTAAATGTAAACAAAATTTTTTTGAAATGGGGTCTCACACTCTGTTGCCCAGGATAGAGCACAATAGTGTGATCATAGTTTACTGCAACCTCACACTCCTCAGCTCAAGAGATCCTCCCACCTTAGTCTCCCAAATGGCTGGGACTACAGGTACATGCCACCGGGTCTGGCTAACCTTTTTTATCTTTTGTAAAGACTGGGTCTCGGTTTTGCTCAGGCTAATCTTAAACTCCTAAACTCAGGCAATCCTCCTGCCTTGCCTTCCCACAGTGCTAGAATTATAGGTGTGAGTCACCACACCTGACCCCCAGTGAACTTTTTAAGAAACGTAAGATAAAAATAGTTCTTACCAGAATCAAGTGTGACAACTTATCACTGTCAAATAACAAATATTCTTTCCTAAAAATAAAGTTGTTAATATATTAAAGAATGAAAAAGATTATTATCACTGCATATTTCTTACCTAGATTACTCTCTTCTTCAAAATAGCATTTACAATAAAGAGAAAATGATAACTGGACAAATGCCTTATTCTTTGGAGCCCTGCATCTGAAAATCAGACTATACCGAAAGATCCACAGAATCATCTGAAGATTAAAAAAAAAAAGGAATATTTCCCAGAGCCTCTCCCAATCCCCGCCCAAAACCTTTACAAATAAAAATTAAAATCCATACTAAGTAGAAACCACAAAGGATGAATATATAATGGAAAAGCTTTTGCGAAATAAATGTTGTAACCAAATAGCTTTATTCTCTTCATTCTGAGACATTTTTCTTTTAAAAAAGATTTTTTACATGCTATAACATTTATTTTAAATCTGACTATATTCTATCACAAGGTTATTATTTGCAATCAAAGAAGGTTACTACTTCTTAATCTTTCCCTCCTCAATATATAGCAGTAACATATTGAAAGGAAATTTTTAAAAATTTCATTTCACATTTTATTTCCCAGAAAAACTAACCCCTATTTAGAACAAGTGTTAAAACAAGCTGTCACAAATGATCTATACCTATTTTACTAGTCAAAAGCACACCTGCTATTATATATGGCTATCAATATACCTCCTAGGGTAAAGTTCTTTTCCGCAAAGACATCATGGAAATTTACAATGACACATGCCGATGCCACTTCTACCAGCTATAATAGTGTACATTCCAAAGACAGGCTTTGATCTAGATATGACAAGTCATCTCCTCATGTACATAATTACCTTATTCTTACTGAGCATGAGAAATGAACTAAAGTCCCCTACAAGCCCAAAGACATTCCTTTGCTTAGAGTAGGAGCAAATGGTAGGGTGAGTAAATCCTACCCTAGCAGACTAAAAGGTCTAATCACTTAATTTGAAAAATATGAGTGTTAAACATGCAAAATGTAATCCACCTAACCAAGGTACTCTTTGGATCTAAAAATAAGTTTTCTAACCTATACACAAACTGAAGAGGAAAGAGCTTTTCCAAAAAGATTGAGTCCTCACTAAATGGATCCTTATTGTTCTTATTGTTCAAATCCAGATGTTATCATTTGGGGGATGCCTGTTAATGCTGTTAATCTTTTATCTTCAGCCCACAGCTCCAAACTAGCTGGGCTGGAAGAAGATCATTCCTGCCTCCTGAAGGGAAGCATAAGGAACTGCTGTTAAGCAGAAAATCTGTGAACCTTCAAAATATGGGGATGCTCCAGAGACATGGCTCCAAAAAATTTGCTTACCCTTAAACAACAGGTTTCCTACACATGATTAAAAGAAACAATAAAATTAACACAGGTTTACCTTGGCCAATGAGCTATCAGCAAACTGGTAAGGGTGTTTGGAAATCTCTCAATATTTAAGATCTAGCCTGTAAATTCATTACTGATTTGTTTTCAGTATATCAAATCATCTCTCCTAAGAAAATAATAAAATATTTCTTGGCAACAGCTTAAAAAATGATGCAAAGGATAACAAGACCCAAACCATACTCTGATTTAAAACATTCTAGAAAGCTTCTAGTCAAAGAGACTCTCTCTTTTTAAAGAATACCCACTGCTTAGGACTGTACTGGAACACACCAAGGATGAGTTCAAAGGGGAACAGAAACATCCTATACATATTTGTTGAAGGAAATACATTATAATCTTTCATGTGGTTATTCACAGTTCCAAGACTATGAATAACTCACTGACAGATATACTCAGAATATCAATAAATCCGATTGTTCTACCAATCACCGAAAAGTTTTAGGTGTATCCAAGAAGGCTGTATTCTTTCCTCTGAATATTTTCCAAGTTATGTCTCTCTGAACCTGTACAACTCTGAATATTTGAGGATATTTAATATGTAAGACTACCATTAAAAACAAGGTATCTTTTCTTTTTTTTTTTTGTAGTTTTTGGCCAGGGCTGGGTTTGAACCTGCCACCTCCAGCATATGGAGCCAGCACCCTACTCCTTTGACCCACAGGCACCACCCAACAAGGTATCTTTTTTAAAAAGATAATCTAAACTGTATGTTTATAATGGATATTAATCTAAAATATTAGGTCCCAATCTGTGAAGTGCTCCAATTAATGATTTATTAATTAGCAACAAAAGAAAATGCTTACCTCTCAAGACAGCCATCTTCAGTATCACCATGGTCACTGCATGGCTCTAACAGTATACCTACGGACTGACAAAAAGAACACCATCACTGTATTAATGGAACTCCTAGCACTCATATGTGAGAGGAAGTTGTCGATATAAATCAGAATATTAAAGATTAGTCAAAACCCCTCTATCATGTATAATATAGGCTGGGCTATCAGAACTGTCATCTCTTTTTACATAGAGTAATTTATCCTTCCCTCAAAACTTGACTCCAATAAAGTATAACAGGGATCATGCATTTCTCTCTACCCTATTAAGCAATAGGTATCACCACTACTATCTTTTCTTTCTTTCCTTAGAACATTCTCCTTCGTAAATTTACAGAATTCTGATCCTGCTTACCAAGCTTGCTGCTTGTTGTTTTTCCTCAGCCACAAACTAAAGTTAGTGACTTCCTAGCAGGTAAAAGAAGAGTCAGGGAAGAATTACCAGACCTCTTTATTAAGTATATTTGAAATAACAACTATTTTCCATACAGTAGGCCCCATGAGACTCTGTCTCAGAGACAAATAAAGGAGAGTCCCCCATTTTCTAGTGGCTTAGTGACACCATCTATTCCTCCCAAATGAAAAACCTAGCAAGCCCTACACAAATGCCCTGGGCATTACTACAAAACATAGCAACTTTTTGGTGTTACTGATGATCATCTCTGAAATCAACAAAAGGGGCTCGGTGCCTGTGGCTCAAGTGGCTAAGGCGCCAGCCATGTACACCCAAGGTGGCGGGTTCAAGGCCCGCCAAACAACAATGACAGCCGCAACCATTAAAAAAAAAAAAAACATACAAGCCCAAAGACATTCCTTTGCTTAGAGTAG